TGCATTTTGAGGGAAAGTAAAACATTTGGTTTTGGTTATGTTGTGTTTGGAACACGGAATAGATGTTGAGTAAACACGGGAGGTAGGCTACTGCGGGTGGGAGGACTCGAGCTCAGGGGAAGCCAGGTATTACCCCGCTGCACTCACTAGGGAACAGTGATTTTCTGGGTCGGAGACCAGGTAAAATCACTGGGAGAGTTAGTGTAGGTAGAGGATGGGAGAATGCCAGGGACCGAGCCCTGGGGTGCTCCCGGGTTGAGACTTGGAGATGAACAGATTAGAAAGTAGTGGCCAGTGAGGTTGAAGGGAAACCAGGAGGGTCTGCTGTCCCAGCAGCCATGAGAAGCCAGCATTTTAAGAAGAGATCCACTGTGGGCGCCAGGGTGGCTCAGTTGGTTAAGCAACTGCCTTCGGCTCAGGTCATGATCCTGGAGTCTCAGGATCGAGTCCCGCATCGGGCTCCCTGCTCGGCAGGGAGTCTGCTTCTCCCTCTGACCCTCTTCCCTCTCGTGCTCTCTCTCATTCTCTCCCTCTCAAATAAATAAATAAAATCTTAAAAAAAAAATTAAAAAAAAAGATTAGGTTTTAAAAAAAAGATCCACTGTGCCAAGGTTGCTGAGAGCTTTTATGCTGCGATAAGTAGAAAGTCAGATGTAATTTCAGGCCCTGGTAGCCAGCGTTACTGTTGATACCACAGAAATCCACCATGTCTCCCTGAAAGTGTCCTTAGGAGTAGAGTGGGGCTGTGGCAGTTAATGTCTTCTGAATTATGGACTATGCTAATCTTTTATCTTTTCAAATATATTTTCCTGTAGATGACCCTTAACTATGGATGTCAAGAGTAAAAGCTATTGCCATTTTATTGGTATCCCCTGGTTTGTACCTGGAGGTTCTCATACGGTGTCAGAGCAAGGTGTGTTTGGGTAACTTGTGGAATGGAGATATTGCAGAGGCAGACAGATGGAATTATTGGATCACCAGGTATGTGGACACAGTGAGTGTGGGGAGGCCCAGCTGGAACCAGTCTACCCGCCGAACTTGGTCAGCTTCCAGGATTCCCATTCCCAGCAGTTGGCACCATCATCCATTCGGTCGGGCAAGCCCCAAACCTGCGTCCTCGTGTTACTTCTTGTCTCTCATCCACCCTCTTCGGCCTGTCAAGAAGTCCTTCCTCTCTTGCCTTTTGTCCTTCCCTGCCTCATTATCTCCATGGCTGCTACCAGCCTGCCTGAGGCTCTCTCTTGCCTAGATTATCGTAATGGCCTTAGCGAATTGTCTTCCTGGATCCTTTCCTGCCTTTATCTGTTGTTCACTCTGAAGTCCAGGTTATGTTTTTAAAACTAAATCTGCTTTTGTTACCTTCCCTTCTTAGATCTCTCAATGACTTCTCATCGCTTGCTGGAGAAAGATCAGAATCCCTGAAGGGGCCTAGAGCTCTGTGTGGCCTGCCCTGCCCTCTGAGGCTTGCCCTTTCTCCCTCCCCTGCCCCATGGGACGTTCATCCCTTCTGTCTCTGCCCCTCCTTGACTCTGACTCCTTCCTGCTTAGTATCTCAGCTCAGCGGAGCCACTCCTGAGTCCTTTGTGTTGCAGTCTTCAGGGCACTGTGCTCTTTTGTTTCAGAACATTGGTTTTTATCTGCAGTTAGTTGTATGGTTACAGATTATTCCGGTGGGATACCTGTTAGTTTGTAAATCCCCCAGGGCAGGAGCTGCTCCGTATGTCTGGCACACCTTGCTGTCTGGCACATGGAGACACTTGGCATGTGTTTGTTGAGTCCATTGACTTTAGGATATAATAACACAAATGGGAAATGAATCTTCCTCTGGAAAAATGGGGGACTTTATGTTAGGACCGCTCTAGTGGAAATGGCTAGTTTTCCCACAACTGCCCCCAGTTCTCTCCTTCCTGGGTCCTCCTTACTGTCACCCGTGATATTCCGTCCCATTTCTTTTTCTTTGGGCTCCACAGCTGCTGACTGCCACCGCATGGTGGGATGAGTGGGGGCCCTCGTGAGTGCTGCTTTCTGAGGACAGAATTCAGGGCTTGACTCAGACTCTTTAAGAGAGTCTCACCTCTTTCGTTACCTCTGGTCTTGCCTGCCAGGCACTTTGGTCTTTTCCTTAAATCTTTCAGAAAATCTCCAGATAATTTCCATCACCTGTTATTCTACTGCTTTCCTCTTTGAATGAAGCCTTGCCTTTTCTTTGAGTCCCTCTCAAATTCTAGAAGCTGCGCAACAGTTAGTAAGTTAATAAGTTTTGTCAGAGCTTCTGGGCATAAACCGTAGACATACACCATCTCTGTGAGTAACCAAGATGGCACCAACACCAGTGTCCCCGTTTCTTAAGAGTGCTGACAGATAAGGAAGAAAGTTTCCTTCAGGCTGATAATGAGATGTGTGCATATTAAGACTACAGCCTGAATCTGCTCTCAAGAGTGGAGAGAGTGACAAGGTGAATCACCAAGTTTCAAACCATCATGATTAGACTTGGTTTACTTCACAAAGTGTGTGTCTCTGTCTCTCCCCACATCATAAATATATTTCAAGGAAAATACCCGATATTACAATAAGCCAGTTCCATATCTTTTGCTGTCTTATGAAGATTTGAGTTATTTTATTCTGGGAAAAAGAAAAAAAACTTTGTTCTTTTGGTGTGGTTTGTTTTTTGTTTGTTTTGCTTTTGTTTGTTTTTTTGTTTTTGTTTTTACTGTAAAAAAATCCCTGGCGTGGGGCAAATGTATTTTAGTGTCAGTTTGTTCATTTTTCTTAAATAATAGTCAGTGGAACCAGTGGAACCCAAGATGTCTTTCTTTTTTTCCCCTGAGAAAAACTATCTCACAGAGATGGTTTAGGCAAAGTCTAAATCATAGCTAGATAGACACATATGTACGTGTAGAGACATACTCTTCTATTTTCCTTGCTTGGTCAGAAATTAAGTTGAAAAGTTGCCCTTTTCTTTCAGGTTAAGGCTGTTGTGTTATTCTCTGTGAAGCAGAATGTTTACCTTCTGCATTTTAGCATTTTAAAAATCAAAATTCTCTTTTAAAAACTTAGTTTTATGATGCTCTAGGAAACGCCAATCTGTGTTTTTAACCTTATTTGAAAATTTCCTTTGAAGATAAGTTGTAACTGCAAACTAATGATTTGCTCTGAGAGATTTGTCTATATTCCCATATCCTTAATAGGAACCAAAAGTTAAGGAACTCATGAGTTCAGCCACCCACATGGAAGGAAAACAGTCTGTGAACTTACATAATTGGTGGGTGCTGAGTAAGTTGTCATTTCATATCTCTTGTGTTTTGCTTCTGTACTCAGTCCATGCCCAACAGTAAATAGACTGTTCCAGAATCAACAAATCATGGTTTCCATTGCCACAGCCTTGGAAGTGCATCAGGAAGCTTCAGATTGGCTTTCAGAGTGAGCCATACCCCTGGTGTGGCTTCTCATGTTTGTTTAAAGTGGACTTCTGATATTCTGTGCCCTCAATAGAAGATGTTTAAATAAGTTTGGAAATTCCTGCAGCATGCAGCATTAGGTAGCTGTTTAAAAAGTCATGTTGAGGAAAGATGCTTTATGACATTGGAAAATATTTAATGAAAATGCTAGATAATGTTTATCGGTCATATGTGTCAGACACCTCTATTAACACATTTAATCTTAAAAAATTATATGAGATAAATACCGTTAATTTCCTAAGTTCACATAGAAGTAGTAAGTAACCACTAGGCAATACTGTCTCTGTATCATGTATTATAATCTGCTTTTAATCTAACAAAACCGTATGCATAAGGCAATGATCTCCATTTTCGTTCAAAAATTATTCACACATGTACATGTGTGTATATCCAGCCCTATTGAGATGGCAAGACCATAGCTGATTTTGGTGATTTTTATGTTCTTTGTGTTTTCCAGTTTTACTATAATGTACATGGATAACGTTTACAATAGTAGGGGAAAAAACCAAGTAGATTTCTATAGCAGTAGATATATTTAAACAAAGTAGGAGGAGAAATGGATTTCAAAACAGAGTAATTGTCCACGGTTCTCTGTTATGTACCTCTATATTTTCCATCACTGGGAGAAATTAAGAACAGAGTGCTCTCAGTTGTGCAGAGGAGAGTTGTTTTGTGTAGTTACTGGACACGTGTTTACAGGTGATTTGCTCAAGGGCAGGGTAAATTGGATCTAAGGAAATAGTGAGGCTCAATTTAAGAAGGTTTTTCTCCGCCATAAAAATATTTAGGGTGATATAACCAAGCCCTTACTCTCTTTTTACTTGACTGAGAACTCCTTTCCTTGCCTGAGGATGTCTGGACTTCATCTGTATCTGTGCCTGGGCCCCCTTGTCAGCCCCTCCCTGCATTTTTGACCATCTGTTTTACTAATTGAAGCAGCTAAGAAGCAGCTAAGAGCACTAAAATACTTCCGTTGCCCAAGGCCTTAACCCCAACCCCCAGGGGAGTGGTGCTCTTTCTTCTTTGCCTGCCTTGTCCCCATCAGTACTCTGTCCATACAGCAGCAGCTTGGGCAAGTCACTGCCGCACCTGCTTGCTTTCTTTTTTCTTCCCACTAGAAAGAGAGTTCTGCTACAGGCAGGGGATATGCATGTCTGTCCAACAGGCTGTACACTCCCTGTACTCGGCAGGCAGACAGGGTGCTTTTCAAAGATGAGTTATCACACAATTACCATCTAAGGTGTAGTAGCGAAAGTCCACACCTAGGTCAAAGAAGTCAAAGGTCAGGGTATAGGACTCAAGAAAAAATAGATTGGGTAAAGGTCAAGAAGAACAATTTTGAGAGCTTTATGGAAAAGCAAGAGGACATTCCCAGTGGATTAGAAATATGTGTCTAATGCTTTACAGCCATAAGAATGATCTGGGGAAATGAACATCTTGGCTATTGGAGAAAGATTCTAATGAACTTTCAAGAAGGAAACTAAATACAGAAGAGGATGCTGTTTTCATCCACATATGGATGAGTTGTACTCACTCGTTGTCAGCTACGACTTCTAGAGTAGCCTATTTGGCTAATGAAACTGGCCACTTCCTTTTGACTCATTTACCTGGAAAAAACATATTTGTTTTTTGTGTCTGTCCTTCAAACAGCATCCTGGTGGGGAAGAAGTGTTAAGGGAACAAGCTGGAGGGGATGCTACTGAAAGTTTTGAGGATGTGGGACACTCTACAGATGCTAGAGAATTGTCCACAACGTACATCATTGGGGAACTTCATCCAGTAAGTACCTTACTGGGGGCCTTTACTTCTCTTTAAGGCTGTGGGTTGACCTTGCTCAAAATTGCAGACTTGCATATTATGAAATTGAAGAAGAAGTAAAGCAAAAACAACTCCTCCTGATTATATAACACCATTCTTGTCATAAACAAATGGATCAGAAATTTCTTTGCATTTCCCTGGTTGCAGTTTTCACTGGCACTTAGGGTCAGGACCCTCTAAGCCAAGGCCGGGCTGGGGGACTGTGCCTCTCAGACTGTGAAGTGTCACGGGGCAACATATTTTACAAGGTGGGGGTCATTGACCCAGCATGGTTTCTTTTTTTCTTTTTTCCTTGACTAAAATATTTTAAGAAATATTTCTTAAACTCCCTTCTCCTCTCATGGTTTGAGGATATTTCAATTCTAAAAAAGTCATTAAAAATTTTTAAACGACCTCTGTTAAATGAATAAACTCTGTCTTCTGTAAAACCTACACATTCTCCTCACTCTTCTCACTTGACCCCAGATCTTTGAGAACGTCGCCTTCGATGCCAATCCCTGGACTGACTTTATGCTCCCTGACTTAGCTTTTATATAACCCAGGGCTGTAGTATGAATTTAGGCCCTTCTGTGGCAGTTTTGAATGACTATATGAAGCTTTGCTCATCTGTCAACCAAAGTTATCTGGAATGTAGCTGAACACTTGGGAAGAGGTGGCAGAGTTCCCCCAACAGATAGAGGCTCCTACATCGTCCATTCAGCTGTTCTTACCTCTAGAGAGCACCTGGGCTTCTCAGCTGGGCCACAGGGTCTCCTCTGTTTCCCAGCTCGTGCTGCTTCACCAGGAGCCAGCCGGAGGGGGTGGGGGCACTATTAGAAGCAGGCTAATGTAGGCATGTGGCCTCAGCCCAAGTACACACTCTGAGAAACCACTGAAAAACAAAAACCCATATGAAAAGTTTTATCATTATGATTATAATAAAAATCATATAATTGCCAAATATACTTGCCAATAATTTTAATATTGTCATTTATTATAAAATATTTGGTAAATACAAATCAATAGGTGCATCACATAAAATATTGATCAAATAAGCTCCTGTGTACCAATTACCAAGCTAAGAAATTTAACATTGCCAAAGAAAAAAAAAAGTTTTGTTGATTGATATTTCTTCCAATGACCATGAATGAAGGAAAGCTTAAAGGCTCTTTATGGAAGGCCTAAAAATAGGAAATCTGTTTTAGAGCAATTTCCATTGAATAGGGAGGTGGGTTTTTTTTTTGTTGTTGTTGGTTTATTTGGTGGTAGGAGGGGGTACTCTGAAAGAATGAGCTTCACTTACCTGGAGAGTTTATTCACCCACATATTTTCATCTTCATCTTCATACTTCACCAAAGTGAGGTAGTTTTATGGTAACCAGAGAGGCTTTCCCTTAAAATGTTTGATTCTTTCCTTTCCAAACTTGTAGGGGTAGAAGAGATGGGTTTTCAGACTGTGACTACAGCATTTCTGCCTCATCTGCCTACTGGGATTCCCTGTGGTCACCTTTAGGTAACCCTTAATTTAGACTACCTCAACTGGAGGTTTAAGAAAATTGCAACCCTGCAGTTGGGAGATTGCAGGAATTCACTGAGGATATCACACAAAATTACACACACACACACACACACACACACAGGTATACAAACATACATACTCATTTCACAGGATAGCGGGGGAATAATCTACTTATGTCTCAGCTGCTCCCTGAATTGAGGATTAAAATCCAAGTCTAATAAATATATATGCACGTGAACATATAAATGTGATTATCATGGATGATGTTCTAAACTTTGGAACTCTAGATTGAAAATTAATCATTTAATCAGCTATTAATTTTTGCAGTCAAGTCAGATGTATCAAACTTTGTAATTAACAACCTAGATAGATGAACCTAAAGTGCTAGTTACTGAATAGTAATGTTTTCTAAAAAAATCTCAGTAAAAGTGACTGCTTTAGACATGGTACTTTTGTAAATGTTCTTTCATTCTGTAATGTGCCTTTTTTTTTTGTAATTGCAGGATGATAGAGCAAAGTTGACCAAGCCTTCGGTAAGTGTGTCATCCCCAGTGTCTCAGTGGCCGTGCCTATCTTCAGTGTATTTCATACCGTCAAACTGGGGGACAGAATGAGCTATTTGAATGAGGCCAGGCCAGCATAGGTCTCTCTAGGTTAGATGAATATGTAACCTGTTGGCTCAGCAAAATATGTTGTGTATAGACCAGCCATTGTGTTTCATTAGGACAGCTTGTGCGTTCTCTCTGTAAGACTCTCCATACATCATTTTTTCATCGTAATTATCAGTAGATACCTCTTGAAGAGCTACTTTTATAAGTAGCACTGTGCTTCTGATTTGACACGAGCCTTATGTTCAGAGAACTTAAAATCTGAGCAGAGGTCTTAATACTTGAACCTTGGAGAACACTACCCATGTCTTCTTCCCCTCCATGTCCCTGGGACATAGTAGGTGTTAAATAAGTATTTGTTGGTTGAATTTAATGTTAATCAAATTAAATAATAACTTTTTGATGCATTTTTCCTTAGGAAAGGAAAATATATTCTAGGGGCTATTAATTTTATGCCCTGGTTCACTAGCCCTTCTCTCTGAGCTGGTCTTCTCACTTACATTTGAAGATAAATCCATAGTAAGAATTGATGACAACAGCCAGAGTCCCTGACGAGTACAAGCAGACAGAACAGTTGTTGGCCTGTAATTAAAGGACCATGGAAGAACGTTTTGCTTAAACCACAGAAAGAATAATTTTTCCATTTTGGTTTCTGTTCTTGCTTTTATTAGAGCCCAACAGTGAGACTCCACAGGGCTTGTATGAAAGAACTGGTGAACTCATTTGCTCGCTGCTGTTGACAAGACATTCTCTTTAATCTACAGCAAAATCAAAGCAGTAAATCCAATAGAGCGTAAAGGCCATGTTTACCTTCATACCCCAGATGGTACAATATAAGTCTTGATTAATGCTATTTCTTACAAAGCAATTTCATTTATTGTCTCTCCTTTCCCTATTCAAAAAGTTCAGTGTTGGTGATCTGAGTACTTTGGGAAGACAAAAAATGGACTTCAGAATTTGAATTGCCTGTGTAACAGCTGCTGAGTCCTTGCTGTGGGTCATACGACATTAGCACCTATTTTGAGGCTACTTTTGGGGTAACTGAAATCCCGTGATGCATGTAGTTTTTGCTTTTTCTCCATAGTCAGGTCAGGGAAAAAGTATACACTTTTTTCCTGTTAGGTTTTCACTATGTTAATAATCTTGGTGTAAATCATTCAGCTATAGTAAAACAAGAATTTGATAAGGCTCATTACATTAACTTAGATTTAATGTAGGTCCAGTCATATCTCAAACGACGATGCCTACAAACAGAAACTAGGGCTGAGTTGGTAAGCAGGTCTCCTACCATCCTACTGTATTTCCCAAAGACTCTCTCCTCTTTTAGAACATATATGACTTTGATTAGATGAGCAGAGGTAGGACAAGAACTTGCTGCCTTTCTAGGACATAAGCAAATACAATGAAAAAAAATACACGACTGCTTTTTTGGATTTATCTTTCTTATGCTTCTAGTTTGCCAGAAGAGAGTGTCCTTAGGTATTTCTTTTGGTGTATATGTCTCTGTATAACCATCTGTCTATCTCCAGGCTGATAAATGTAAGCGGTGGTCTGATTTTTTTCAATGTTGCCACTGAAAATATCTAGTTGAATTGTGAAATAAGATGCAACAAAGATTATTAGCTTGACCCTGCCCGGAGGAAAACATGGTGTTTAGTTGCCAAGATAAGGTATTTGTAGACCTAGAAATGATGCGTTTTTAAACAAATTTGTATCTATTAAATTTGCTTACATGGAGGATATCAGTATCAATACCTTTTTTTGGTTGTGGTTTTCAAATCATTGCTGTTTAAGTGACTTTGTTTGGGTCTCATGATATCCCTGTGGGATCCATAGACCTTCCAGGAAGGTAAAAACAGTGAAGCTCAGACCTTGCTGCAAGCTTTGACCTTGTTCAGGGTCACATTGCAGAACCATGGCTAGCACCCATCTCAGGTTTGGCGGGTGCAGTCTCTTAAGCTTCTTCTGTAGGGTCTGTACTCCAAAGGCAAAAATATCAGTGTCCCTGATATTTTTAGGAAAGCATTCCAATTAAGGAATAGGCTGGAGTAGATAAATATATAAATGAGATGATTTTGATTTGCAAAAACTTGATGTACTTTGCATGATTTTTATATAGCTTCTCATGTACTGATGGAATTATTAATCTTTCCTATGTGAAATTGAACCCCTCAGGGTCATGGAGTGAACAGGTGGCAGAGCCTGTAATAAAAACCATAGTCTTTTCTGCCTGTTGGTTGTTGACATATTTGTTAGTTACACACAGAAGCCCAACTTAGGCCCCTCAGACCATTGGACAGGCAGGACAGTTTCAGTTTCCTTTTTCATCAGTGTGGTAAGTGGTTATTCAAACTTGCTTTAACTCTCAGGCATCTCTTGGTTAAAAGCCTAACAGATAATAAACACTCAGAAATGTATATAATCTTTTAAAGTACAGCTCTTTAGAAGATCGTTGTTGTTGCCGGCGGTGAGGTACCCTAACAGTTTTAGCATTAACGCTCAGGGCAGTGATGAACGAGGAGGTAGGCCAGCCTAGTAGCCATAGAGTTGTCAGCATGTTTGGTAAAATGCATGTGCTTGGTATAACAAAATAACAGATCGGTGTCTGAGTTCTGTTTACTCTTCTGGGCTTAACTTTCTATTGTGACAATAATATTTTACTTTCAATGAACTGTTGTGCTCCAGTTTCAGAATTTATTATGTCGTCTAATAGTGTAATAATCCTTTTGCACAGTCCAGTAACTTCTAGTAATCCTTGTTAATTTTATTCATATATGCAAAATTTGAAAAATAATCTTGCAGTAGTTATGAATACTTTCTGTAGTCGCTAAGATTTAACATTGCTTAAAAAGATAATAAGTGTGTGAAGTTTTCTTTTTAAATGACTTATTTTTTTCCCCCCTACTGTGTCAGGAATCTTAAAGGCCATGTTTCCAGGTTTGTGGGTCTCCTAACTGACTTGCTTGCTCTTGCCTAACAGTTTTCTGCCTTCTCCTGGGGTTTCTCTAATGAATGCGCTGCCTTGCTGTGTGCAGCTTTTTGCCTCATTGCGGAGTGTGGATTGTTTTGCTAATGGCTTATCTTGTGCTTTGGGAAAACTGCAGAGATGAACTCTCAGATGAAGCGACCTTACTTATGGCTACCTTCCTTTGAGTCACTAATACTTTCGCTGGTGTGAATTTCTAAAGAATGCTTCTTAGTTTTCAAGCCAGGAAAGTTTATTTTTCCTTAGGCCTTAGTTATTCATCTGTTTGGGGAAGGATGTATTTTTCAAGAGCCAAAATTAGTTCACTTTCATGGTACTGACAGAACTTCTCGTAGAAAGTTCTGGAAGGCAAAATAGGCCAGCTGTGAAAGACCCCAGCACACACACAGGGTGTCCTTATTTGGAGGTTTCTTGGCTGGTGACCCTGTGAGGTCAGTTCCTGAGGCCTCCACTTTTTAGGGCTGTCTTGTCAGAGTTAGAGAAGGCCAGGAGAGGTGGTGGTCCAGAGTGTGATAATTTAAATGACAGTTTTTATTTTTCTCTTTTTGGTTGACATGTCTTTTAATACAATTTGGGTACACTTTTACTTCACATAAAATTTGAATGAAATAACTGATTTTATTGAAGGTTTCATTCATGCTTTTAAAGAATTAAACTTTTCTTCCTAAAGGTAGTGGTGGGGTTATGTGTCTGGGTATATGATAATCAGTTTTCAGTTTCTACATTATTCAGATGTGTACTGTGTAGAGGATATTTTGTGTAGCCTATTTTTACATTTTTTTTCAAATTATCTAGGTTATGTCTGCAAGTAATTTAAATACAGATGATTCTTAAAATTTTTTCTTCTAAACAAATGGTGAAAATACGCATTTTAGTGAAAAGTTTATGATACTCCGTTTCAATGTGTTTTGAAGAATATACTGAAAACTGTGATCTTATTTTAAAAGAAGTTCTTAGTCAATTGAATAAATCTTCAGATGTTCCCTTAAAGTTCACTTTTTCTCTTGTGTTTCAGGAAACTCTCATTACTACTGTTGATTCTAATTCCAGGTACGTGGTAATTTTCTCTTAAGGTAACTGATCAGGCCAGTCAAGTCTGGGTGGGATTAGGGCTCCTCCCCCACCTGAGGGCTCAGGCTCCCACTGTGCCCACGCTCAGTGGACAGCCCAGGATCATCTCCACTTGGTGCCCAGATGACTCAGGACATCCCCTCCTCAATTGTCAGACAGCTCAGACTCTGGACACTCTACCCCAGATCTCTCCCTCCAGCTGCATCTACTCTATAGTATGGACAGAACAAGTTGGGTCTCTTTTTCTCCAGGGTAGTCCTGTGGCCTACACAGTCTTACTGCCAAGGCAAATATCCTTTCTTATTCAATATATGGTCTGTTTCTTACACTGTAGTGATTATATCTCCCCAAGTGTTTGTATCTAAGTGTTTATATCTCCCTAAGCTCAGTGTTCCTCCAAGTGTGGCATGAATCACTTGTTCTAGGGACTGGATTTCTTTGTCACAGTCCAAGATCCTATTAACATTTGTGACAGCTCTACCATATTGACTTGCATAATTGGCATATATATCTCTCTGGTAGAGATATTTGGCCCCAAGCTCAAAACCACACATTTATGCCTATTTTATTTCACCCTGTCAAACGGAACTGCACCAGTCTGTCGGTGTTCTGGTACATTCCCTGCCTTCAGGCAGTAGTCCTTCACTGTACATTTCATTGACAGGTTAAGTTTCCGTCTAAATGAAAACTGAAAACCCCACCAAGATGAAAGTTACGTTTGTAATCTTTTTTGCAGTTTAAATCTTTGTATTGAACACAATCTTTGTATGGGTTGATGTGTGAAGAGTATTAAAAGATAGAAAGTTTATGACAGAAAATATATGTCTTTATAGGAGTTATCTGGCTTAATTCACATTCTACTTTCTAAGAAACTGTAGGTTCATATCTAAATTGAAGATCATTCTAGCTTTGTCCCTGGTTTGATCTGTAATCTGTCATTTTTAGTTGATCAAAAATTCTATGCACCAGGACTGAAACTGTGTGTAAATTAGGGATTTTTCTGAGTTTACACCTATGGACCACAGATTAAGTACCTTGCTGCAAGCTTTGACCTTGCTATTTCTTAACGTGTTAAATCTACTGTGCATGGCTAAAGATTAGATTTTCAAAACAGAATCACAGAACACAGAGCTGTCATGCTCGTAGCAACCTTAATAATCCTATGGCTCAAACTCCTTAACTTCACAGTCCAGGAGATGTGCTTTCCTCATGGGTATAGGGCTTGTGGTTGGGTCTCCCAAAATGAGAACCTTGATTTTCTTGTTCTCAGTTTAGTGCTGTTTTAAATTCTTACTGTGTGTAAGTAGAATAAAGCCTGTAAGGAATATTTGCTTTTGTGAACTTGTGATACGTAACCCAGAGTTGATGTCCTTAGATAAGTCGCTAGTTGTAGGTAGCATCTGTTGGGGGAGTGATTCATAGCTCTTGGTGTAAGTTAAGAGAAATAGATTTAAGTGGAATGGGGATGGAGGTCATTAATTTTCTTACAAAGCTAGAGCACTTGCTGGTGTACTAGGGCATATGTGGTGCTCATGTTGCTTTTAACAACTCAGAGTTGACGTTTCATCCAGGCAAGTTATAGAGATAATAAAAACATGCCACAGTGATTTTCATGGTAAGCAGAAGGAGCAAAGGTTTTGAGTCCTGTGCGCCGAACCTCATGCAAGCATCATTGCTGTTTCTTTCCAGCTGGTGGACCAACTGGGTGATCCCAGCCATCTCAGCAGTGCTGGTGGCTCTGATGTATCACTTCTATACAGCAGAAGATTAAACACATGCTCAGAAGTGGAGGAAAGAAAAGACTGCTTTGGACCAGGGAGAAAGAAGCCAGTGTTAACTGCTTCAACTGACAGATGCCTTCACCTGAGAAATAATTTTAATACACCTGTTTCCCTTTTCTCCTACTTTGAACCAAACCAAAAAGAACTCTTCTGTTCTTTCTACTCCTGAACTCTTTGAATTGTGCCTTTTGTTCATCAACTTTTTTTGATGTTCCATCACTACATAATTTACTTATTGTAGGCATGATCTTTTAAAAAAATATATCTGGCTTTTAAAATATGCCACTACGATTTCCTGTCTATTTGGTGTATAACTGCCTTTAACATTTAGAATCTGATTATTTAGCAGAGTCATGTAATGTGCTAATTATCCAGACTCAAGTAGTCTGTCTGACGTGAGGTGGGCAGTGTCCCCCCATCCCTCCTTGCGCTGCGCTCTCTCCTGAACAACCCAGCACTGCCTGCTCCGGCGTGGTTTCCATTCCCGGGGAATTAAGAAAAGCTCAGAAATGAAAGATTGCTAATTGTTCTACTTGAAATAGATGATAAAAAGAGAAGGTGGCCTATAGGACCTATGAAAAAGACTCTTACCTCTTCCTTGATTAGAAAATGCAGTCAACATAAAAGGAAACCCGTGAACCATGAGAGGACATTTATGTCCCCTCTCACAGACTAAAAATTTACTGAAGAGATTCTGTCATATGGGTTCTAAAGTTTAAAAAAATTCCTCATTCAGAGGCAAAAACTGTTTTATATACTCATTAAGGAAATGTTGATTCTGTACTTCACAAAAACAAAATTTGAAAGAGATTATGGGACAATTGGAGTCTGATTTTTGAAGAAATGTAGCTGGTGGTGATGAGGCCTGAGGAAATCTGTTATGGCTCTGTTCATTTTCTCAGTGGAGTTCCAGTAGACTAATTCTTTCATCTTTATTTTCTGCCCCATGCTTTTTTTCTTAAAGGATGAGTTAGATTCTAAGTACTTTGTAGTTACGTATGACTGTGCAAGTTTCCACTGGCAGGCTAACCAACTGATAAGCAATGGAGTTCTTCAGAAATAACTAAAGCACCTTGGAAAGGAATTTTTTTAATTACAGAGCATTGTTTAAAAAGAGGCAACAGGCCCCAAATTGAGTCACTTGTGCTATACCCATGTCACCACACCAAGACTTGATACCTAAACTGATGGCAATTTCAGCCTCTCCCAGGAGTGGAATCTTAAGCCAGTCAGTCAGGAATTACCTGGTCAGCACTAGCGAGATAATTCCTGGTGGACATCCTCCCTCAGCCGCTGACCCCTCAGAGGAAGATGACTTTGCCTGAAACAGTCAGCTCTGCTCGTCTCTTTCTGCCCATAAACGTCTTCCGTTTGGTACAGCTCTTTGGAGCTTCTTTCTATTTGCCAGACAGGATATTGCCCGATTGATGAATTGTTGAATAAAAATAAGATCTTTACATTTTATTCTGAGGAATTTTGGATTTTAACAGATTGGGTGGCAGTGATGGGATCTGAAGGACACTTCTGATGGCTTCGGGGGCCACGAGAAACACAGGCATGGTACCCACAAACTGCATTCTCTGTGTTTCTCGTTGTTTCCGAGGGCCGTGGGTAAGTTCCTCTCGGTTCTGAGCTCTGCTTTTTTTGTGTCAAGCTTCTGACCTAATTGGCTTTCTAACCTCACATTTGATGACAGTCCCTGATTTCATGTTGAGAACTGCTGGTGGTCCAGTCCGCAGTCCCCATCTGATCAGGATCCTGAGCCCTTGGGTAAGTCTCCGATTCCATGCTGCTGCTGGTTCACTCCACAGCTGGCCCTTTGTTTGGGGTCTGCTGGTTTAGTCCTGTCTTCAGTCCCATGCCAGCTGGGGTCGAACTGGGTATGATGTAAGCTGGCCTGCAGCCAGTGTGTTTTGTGTAGTTAAAGGCAATTGTTAATGGGAATCTTGGAAGCCCAAACCTGCATGATTGGTGGGCATGGGCTGAGCACTTAAAAGCTGTTAGAATGCTTGCCACCTAACTTTATCCGTAAGTTGGTCACAGAACAGGTTAGATTGACACTAGGTCACCTGCCAACCTCAAGAAAGTCTTCATGTGGTGAGGTGCATTGTAGAACACACGGTCCCCAACCCAGCGACACATCCCCTTGGGTATTAGCTTGGCTCCAGAAGACCCAAAGCCTTAGCTCCAGGAATTGAGCACACCACCTTTTTGGCACAACTGCTTATTTGTTGTCTAAGAACTGTGGTCCCAGAAGCTGTGGATATTTACAACAATGACAAAGTTTTACTAAATACAGTCTAGAATTACAATGGCCATTATGAGGAACGTTCCCATTAGACAGCATTTTGAAAGCCAGAGCTCCCAAACCAAACAAACAGAATGGGTTACCCTGGGTTGCAGGAGATCCTCCTCAGATATCTTAAACTTCTTGGTCAAAGACTGAACTAAGGGGCCATAGTCAGAGAATTTCCTGAGACCAGGGAGGATCCCCAAAAGTTTCCTGAAGAATTTAGAGTCATTAGCAGGGCTGGGGACCCCAGGCTTTCCGATTTCTGTGGGCTTATGGGCATACTGGTTGGCCCTGAGGAAGCCCAGAAATGGATGCATGAAGCAGATTGGTGTAAACCTGAAGATATTTAGGATACTCGGTCTTAAACACACTCCCCTCATGGACCAGAAAAAGCTTACAGAATGGTGATTGGCCTTTTAAAAGCCATTGTTGGAAGGAGTTTTCCCTGCCTGCCCCATTTGGTTTATTATTCAAACAAGCAAACAAAAAAGATGAATCTGTGGCAGACTTTGAAGCCTGTGTGGAAGCTCTCTTCCTGTGGCATCCCGGTTGCATACAATAAACAAGGCCACCCAACCTTGGTCTTGCTGCCCTGTTTGTAAATGGACCAGTTCCTGAGGCTAGTAGACTGATTCAGACAAACAAACAAACCAGGATGGAACTGAGCTCCCATCAGTCTGACAGAACTCATGACCGCAGCCGAGAACCTTGAAAGGGACTTAGGAACAGACCATAAACAAAGTTTGCCAAGTTAATGGCCTTATGGATGCCTCCAGCTCTGCTCTCAAAGGAGAGCTCCCACCTGGGCCCCTCCCAGAGTTGACGGGACTCCGGGGGAGTTTTTGGTAAATGGCTGTTATTCCCTTAAACAGCCAAGGGAAACTGAAAATGAACAGAAAACCTTGCCAGGTTCTGGTAGATAAACTGAAGCTACAGTCTCTAAGCCCACTTGGGGCCTGAGGATGAGGTCTTGGGAAAATTGGCAGAGGCTGGTTAAGGGTGAGGGTCCTTACAGAGTCAGCTCTCTTGGGTCTCTGTCTGCAGTGCCCAGTCAAGAAGGGGAAAAATAAAATTTCTTGAGTTGTCTCTTCCTTTCCAAATCCAACCCACTGGTTATCCAGTCTCTCTTTCTCCCCAGGGATAGCTCTTGCCTCCTTGCTTGTCTCGTTTTGTGTCCTAAGAACTTGGCTTGGCTTTCTGCCCGCCTTGGACATGACAGTTGTCACTTCTTCCTTTTGGTTGTCTTTGGGAATGACTGTCTGGATCTTGGGAAGGTAGACATCTTGGCACCCTCTGTGGGGGGACCCCTCTTACTTCCAAGAGGGGATGTTCACTCTTGCCAAAAATATTTATCATTTGTCCTAGCGGGTAACTAACAAAATAGTTAAAAGATTTTTGTAAAGTAGCTCTGTGGTGAAAAGTTGGCCAAACTCGAAGCTGATAATTCAGTGCCTGATCGTACTTTTATTTTAGGCCTTCTCCCCTAAACTAAAAACTATGCATCCAGAAGGAAAGAAAAACCTTCTGAAAGGCTTTGTAAAAAAGGATTTACTTAAAACTTCCCGAACACAAACAGGTCTAAATACAGAACATAGAAATCTTTGATTTTCATCTTAGTTGGAAATCTGATCCCTGATACATAACAAATCAAAAATAAAATGGTTAGATGGACAAATCAACCATTTGGTGTCATTAGGCAGTAATCCAATTCTTTGAGGAATTAAAAACTGTCCTTATCTTACAAATTTTAGTAAAACCAGAAATGCAGCTCTGGGAACAATTCAAGTTTACCTATTGTTACAAATCCTAATTTATTGATCTCAAAAAGCTGGTCAGTATTGTAAAAATTCTGGCCTTAGGAAACAAAGTCCCTTCTGGGAGGAACTTGCTCTTTTCCCCCCTGTGCCTTTGGGATATAAATGCTCTACCTGGTCTCTCCACACTCTTAGCTAGGCCATGTCTTTGAAATACACACTTGAGGTAGGTCATTCTTACCAGAAGAAAAACAAAAGGGGGATAAGGTTCTTTGAAACTGAGGCAAACAAAAAATCTTAAGTGTCTTCTCCACAAATACTAGTAAAAAGCTTTAGTCACCCGAGCAGGTAACCTTTACTCATTTCATCTTCCAGACACACGATTTGGATCCAGCTAGTGAAGTTCTGCATTATCCTACGTGTCTCATGGCTAAAGTTTTAAAAGAAAAGCTATAAGGTCTCTGTTGATTTCTATCTATAGGTATATGTGTTTATACATACGTGTTGTACATGTGGGGTATTTCCCTCTTCTAGATGGCATTGCCAAAATTAATTTGTGAAAGAGCTCTATTCAATTAATTGACTTAAAATTAGGTGCTTATATGAATTAAGTATTGATAAAATTCTCAAAAATAGAATAGAGGCCTAAATACTTTCCGGGTTCATGTGATCTTGGAAAATACCCAGTATTAAAGCTGATTAAAGTTTGTTGGTTTAATTGAAGTAGACATGTCTATAGAATTATCACCATTAAATATAATGCACACACATATCTTTTATCCTACCTGGATTTACTAATCAAATAAGTTCATGTTGTTTCGGTTTATAAAATTGGTCATCAGGAAAAATAACCTGGTATGATGAAATTTTCATAATTAAACGTAATTATTGAGAGAACGAGTAACTAAATAGATATAAGAGGGTCAGAAGTTTTTAGGTGAACTTTTTAAATAGTTTCCCAAATGTTTTGGTAACCTGAAACCTTGAAGTTTTGTTAAGTTAAATTAGTCATTGAATGCCTAGGTCATTTCTAAATAAAATACTGAAACATTGATTACCGAATATGGATAGGTTTATCTACTTTTTGGCTTCTTTTTTACAAAGCAACTAAAGCTATTTGAGTCTAGGAGTAAACATGTTTTGTGCCACGCTGAGAAAACGTGTGTTTCTAGAAAATATAAAATGTGTTTATGGCTTTGTCAGAGAATGCTACAGTAAAAGCTCACAATTGTTAACTTTATTATTTTCCTCAGAAATTAAGGTATTTGAAGCATTAAAAATTGTAAGCTATGTAAGGTACTAGAAATAATAAGGGCAACATTTCTGTATGTAAGGAAAATAAGATGTGTGTTTTTGTTTGGTAAGAGAAGGTGTGAGGAATGAAGATGCACTTTTGTTGAGGGGAAAGAGTGATTTTGCCCTAAGTGAAGCTGGGTATTTCAGAATGGGAAAGAGGAAAAACAGGATAAAATTTGAAGGGGTATTTAAAAAGTTGTAGAAGTTTGTGGAAAAGGAATCCTTGCCAAAGAATTTTATGTGTGGTCAAGCTGGCTTAGATTAGAATTTAAGATTTTTTTCAGTGAATGTATTTAATGTGAAAAGTAAATCTGCAGGGGTACCTGGGTGGCTCAGTCAGTTAAGCCTATGTAAGGCACTAGACTAGACTAGTACCGACTCTTGATTTAGGCTCAGGTCATGATGTCAGGGTTGTGAGATTCAAGCCCCGAGTTGGTCTCCATGCTGGGCTCTGTGCTGGGTGTGGAGTCTGCTTAAGATTCTCTTTCCCTGGGGAGTCTGGGTGGCACAGTCAGTAAGCGTTGGACTCGTGGTTTCGGCTCAGGTCGTGATCTCAGATGACGCCCACATCGGGCTCCGTGCTCAATGCAGAGTCTGCTGAAGATTCTCTCTCCCTCTCTCTCTCTCTGCCCCTCTCCACGCCCCCCAAGAGAAATAGATAAAATCTTTAAAAAATTATTAAAATTATTCTCTCCCTCTGTGTACCACCCCCCTTCATGCATGCATAATCTCTAAAAAAAAAAAAGTAATCTGCAAAATTAGAATTGGGTGTTCTCTCTGTTAAAAGGGCAAAGTGTTCTTGGACTTTTGGTCTGCTTTTGATAAGAGATTGTGAAAGGGTTTTCCTTACCTTTCTAAGTAATCTAGAAAACAAAGATTCTGTGTTTGCCTAGAAAACAAAGGTCATGATCAGGTCATGATATCAGGGTTCTGGGATTGAGCGCCATGTGAGGCTCCCTGCTCAGCAGGGAGTCTGTTTCCCTCCTCCCTCTCACCACCCCCACACCCCCCCGCTCATGCATGTGTTCTCTCTCAAATAAATAAAATCTTAAAAAAATAATTTCCTGTGTTTCATGATGTGTTTATCATGGCTTTGGTTGCTAAAGAAAACTGAGTCTTCTCTGTTGATAGAGCCAAGTTTTTTTACACAACTATTTAACTGTATTTGCCTGAAGTCTTTGTCATTATGATTAAATGGATAACTAAGTATTGTTTCAGAGTGGCCTGTGATCCTATTTGACCAAGTGCTTTAAAACCTTTTGATATTTTTGATAAACTCCCCCCAAACCAAACACTAATTGATGTCTTTTTTGAGCTGGAGATACCTTTATTTTTTTCCAGAGTCCCTACTGCATCTCAGAAGATTTGTTATCTCACCTTATCTTTTTAGAAAGATGTTAAACTAATTAGCCTTATTTGATAGGTTACATGGGACCTATCGTCAAATAAGTCATACTAAGCCGCCTTTGTGTTGTGTAGGTATTTGTTGCAAGTATTCTAGAAATTGTATAAAATTCCTAGAAATCTGATACGTCCTGCTATAATGTCCTTAATCATAATTTCAGTTATTAAAGTGCCGTGTATCACGGAAATAAATACATTTCCTTTTTATTTATTTTATTTTATTTTTTTAGATTTTATTTATTTATTTGACAGAGAGACAGCGAGAGCGGGAACACAAGCAGGGGGAGTGGGAGAGGGAGAGGCAGGCTTCCCGCTGAGCAGGGAGCCCGATGCGGGGCTCGATCTCAGGACCCTGGGATCATGACCTGAGCCGAAGGCAGACGCTTAAGGACTGAGCCACCCAGGCAGCCACTACATTTCCTTTTTAAATGAACTCTCATCACATTAACTGGACATTTTACAATCTTTCGTCACTGACATACAGTTACTGTTTTACTCTGATGCTTTTACAAAAGCAAGACTGATGGGAAGGACCTACTAGGACTTCTTGATCACTGACACCACTGCCAAATGACGAAGTGTCACTACTTGGGCACATGTGTCACAACTGAAGAAGGTGCCACTAGACATCTGGTCCTGTGCTAACACGAGACACCTCAAAATCAAATTAACAACAACAACAAAAATGGTCGACATCAAAGTAGACTGCTGCCACACAAGACGCCAGATCAAGACTTCATACTTTACCTACACATAAGTCCCTCTCCTCTCTCTTCCCTTCACTCCAACATTGTCCTGGAAAGATGACCCCACCGTCTGTATCTCTCAGGCCGTTCCTAAGGTGGGGGTGGAGGAGGTAAACGTTCAGACTGCTAGATTTATTATCAAAAACTGATCTGTCCATGATGCTGGAGACCGCTGGTCTTCCCTGGACCAATTTCTCTTCTGTTCCCAATGCCACCATAAACCACGGTTGGACTCCCCTCAGAAGCCACAGACTCTGACTTCCATGGCCAGAACATCCAGTACCTTGTTTTTGCCTTTCTCCAGTTATAACTGTACTTGCCCAATGAGACACAAATACCTGCACATCCCCATGTTCTTACGATTATCTAAATCTGATTTGCCCCAGTCATGAAAAGATCTCACCAGAATGACTCTTCATTTCAGGCCAGACAGTCCTTGGGAATGGATCCATTAACAGTCCTGCCTTAGTGGGAATGGTTTGTGCCATGGATTTACCTTTGTCTGTGGTGGTTATCGTCATCCTTGGGTCTATGAATGTGGACATGGCTGGCGCATAACCCGGGCTGGGGCTGGTTCTCCTGGTGCTGCCACCTTCTGCCATAGAACTTTGAGGAATCTGAAAATCCTAAATTCAAAGCTAGCCTTTTAGGCCATTAGCAGATGTTAGCATAACTGAAAATACTCAGACATACTATGTGTGTTTCCTCTGTTTGTACTTAGCCCTGCCCCATACGTGTGAGTGGACTCCCGGGTATTGTGAGGATCACAATGGAACACCTGGTGGTTCAGTCAGTTAAGTGCCTGGCTCTTGGTTTCAGCTCAGATCGTGATCCCAGGGTTGTGAGATCGAGCCCTGCATCGGGCTCTGTGCTCAGCATGGAGTTTGCTTGAAATTTTCTCTCCCCCTCCCTGTGCCCTTCCCACTCATGTGCGCGCGCTCGCTCTCTCTCTCTCAAATACAATAAATCTAAAAAAAAAAAAAAAAAAACGAGAAATGACCATCAAGCTTGCACTCCTCTGCCTGGCACACATGTACATTGAATGTCTGCACGTCCCCATCTGGATCACTTTAGAGAAAAGATCACTTTTAGTTAGGATAAGGTATTTGGTATGTGAAATTCGAACAAAACAAATTGTAATTGTGATGCTCACAGCACATGGCCACATCACATCCATATACAGAATCTGTGAGGCTGGGCTGAGATCCAGTGTCTAAACTCTTCTTTCTGCTGCTCTCTGACTACATTTGTGTTCACCTTATCTGGAGGTGCAGTTTGGTTTGGCCCCAGGGTGGGGAACTCTCATACTCAGAATAGTACAGAGTCCCCCTTGAGAGATCAGGGTCCACTCCTGTGCCATCAGCATTTGCAACACAGGCTTGCATGTAAGGTGCTGGGGAATGAGATGGTCTGTGTTCTCGGCGAGCCTTGTGGTCCTGCTGGGAGGGGTGAAGGCGTGATGGCAGGCACAGGGCTAGGCTTACACATCCGCTGTGTTCAGCCACTCAGAAGCGGGGACAGACTGGGGAAGGGGCAACAACAGGGGAGGAAGATGTTTCGTGCAGAAAACCTGGACGTCAGTCTCAGAAACAATAGGAAAGGATCCTAGGTGTTTCCATCATGATGGATGAGGAGGGAAGGGTTCTCTCAGGAGGCTCATCCTGCAGTCAGTCAACAAATGTTTGAGAATTTGAGAGACGAAATCGTTGCATAAATTCTGAAACCTAAATCCACTTGTGTTTTGGTTGTCAAATGTGAAATTTCCTTCGAGAACACAAATCCCAAGTTGTAGGTAGGAACAACGCATTTGTTAGGGAAAATCCTAAAAATGGAGAAAGAGGCAGGGCTTGTTTTTCTCTACTCTTGTCTCAGTCTGGTATCTTCCTGCTCACAGTCTATTTTTTCTACTGAGGCTGGTGATGCAAAGAAGCCAATGAGTCATGAACTTCAGGATGAACCAAAGTCTACATGAGGTTTCAAAGTAGCATTTCCGACACATCAAGGGGAGTTGCTTTAAGGAGGATGAGTGGGCAGCTGGTCTTTCTGATCCCACAGGTGGTCTCTGCATCTGAGGGCATTTGTAGTCTCTCTAGGACCAGGCTGAAGTTTGCTAGAAACACTCCTATATCCTGGTGTGAGGCATGTGGGGCAGTTGTGTAATCCATCATCATCCTCCCTTAAGGAAGCAAGTGAAACAAATTTGCTTGTGTCAACAGCTTAGGTCCCTCAGAAAAACAATGCAAAATATGCAATTGCGAGCATTTCGCCTTCAGTCCACGTAATATAAGGAACCATTAAAATGGTATGTTGTCACTTTTAGATCAGGAAGTTTGATTTATTTTAGTAGTCTTGGAGCCATGGAGAATTCTGGAAGTAACTGAACAACTAGAAGTTCTAGTAGAAAGAATTCAAAATTCTTTAATTTTAAGTGACATGTATCCTGGGGTGAAAACTCAAGTTTGAAAACTCTTGTTTCATTATTCTAATATTTTTCTGAACTGAATTTCAGTTTCATGATTATGCTTTTTTTTTTTTAAGATTTTATTTATTTGACAGAGAGAGACACAGCGAGAGAGGGAACACAAGCTCGGAGAGTGAGAGAGGGAGAAGCAGGCCTCCTGCCGAGCAGGGAGCCCGATATGGGGCTCGAACCCAGGACCCTGGGATCATGACCCGAGCCGAAGGCAGACGCTTAACGACTGAGCCACCCTATGCTTGTTGTGTCAATAGCTCTTTAGGAAGAAATCAGTTGAGAATGGTCAGATGGAAAAAAATATCGTAACGAAGAGGAGTAGCATTACCTTCACATTCATTGCTTAGTTCACCAGTTCAAGAACACAGTAAAAGATCCATAATTATCTTGGAAGAAAACATAGGCCTAAGTCTTTATGATTTTGGATAAAGCAGTGGTTTCTTAGTGATACCAGAAGCCAAAGCTACAAAAGAATAGATAAATTGAACTTTACCAAAATTAACAACTTTTGTACTTAAAAGGGCACAAGTAAGTGAAAAGACAACACACAGAATGGGAGAAAGTATTTGTAAATCATATATTTAATAAGGGACCTATAAAGAACTCTTACAACTCAATAAAACAATTGAAAAATGGGCAAAAGATCTGATTATACACTTCTCCAAAGAAGATATACAAATGGCCAATGAGCACATGAATTGATGTTCAATGATCATTTGTTATTAGGGAAATGCAAATCAAAACCACAAGATACCACTTCACACACACCTAGGAAGGCTATAATCAAAAAGTCAGATGAGGGGCGCCTGGGTGGCTCAGTTGGTTAAGCGACTGCCTTCGGCTCAGGTCATGATCCTGGAGTCCCGGGATCGAGTCCCACATCGGGCTCCCTGCTCGGCGGGGAGTCTGCTTCTCCCTCTGACCCTCTTCCCTCTCATGCTCTCTATCTCTCATTCTCTCTCTCTCTCAAATAAATAAATAAAATCTTTAAAAAAAAAAAAAGTCAGATGATAATTGTTGGCAAAGAGGTGGAGAAATTGGAACCCCTGTGCACTCTTGGTTGGAATATAAAGTGGTGTAGCCACTATGGAAAACAGTATGGCGGATCCTTAAAAAGTTAAACATAGAATTACATAGGACCCAACAATTCCACTGATAGATACATGCTTCAGGAAACTGAAAACAAGTGTTCAAAAACTTGGGCATGAATGTTCATAGGATTTATAATCACCAAAAAGTGGAAACAACCCAAACATCCATCAATAAATGAATGGATTGGATTAACAAGATGTGCTGATGTATTGATTGTTGCATTGGAATATTATTTAACAACAAAAAAGTGCTATATACATTACAACGTGGCTCACCCTTGGATGGTAGGTGAAAGAAGCCAGTCACAAAAGGCCAAATATTGTATGATTTCGTTTGTAGGAAGTGTTCAGAATAGGCAAACCTATACAGATGGAAAGTGGTTGGCTAGCTCTGGGGAAGAGGGTTGAGGGGAAATGGGGAGTCACGGCTAATGTGTGCTGGGTTTCTTTTTGGGGTGATGAAAATGTCCTAAAGTTGCTTGTGGTGACAGTTGCACGTATCTGAATGCCCTAAAAAACCATGGAATTGTGCAGCGTTAAGTGGGTGAGCTGTATAGTATGGGAATTACATCTCAATACGGCTGTTATTTAAGAAATTCAACAAGCTCCAAGTACACTCATCCTCTAAAATAGTTCTCCTCTGGTTTGTTATCTCAGAAGTGTCTGCCCAGGTCACACCAGAAATGGGGGTGACATCCTGCTCCCCCTCAGCATCGCTTCCTAAAATCAGCCACCTGTTAAAAGTGGCCTCCCGTAAGGTATGGGATGTGAGGCTAGAGGAGGGGCTCTTTATATTTTGTCCTGTTCTACAGTTTGAGTGAAAGTGTTAGACTTCTGCAATCGATAGTAAGAAATAGCTGGAATGACTGATCGACTCTAATACCCATCTCCTTTCTCCAGCTCCCATGTCACCACCTTAGTTCACATGTTCAGCTCTTCTCTGAATTGTCGCTGCGTGTGCTCCCTGGCGCCTCCCACCCGGATCTGGCCGTGCCATTATTTTGTTCCATGGTGTGTCCTTAGAGCCTCTTCCAGTTCCTGGAACATGGGAGGTGTTTGTTGACTGAATAAACTAAGAAGTGAAGTCCCTCAGCTGCTCCCCCAGCCCCATCTCGACTTCTAACGTCTAATCCCCATCACCATCAGATGGTTCGTACAAAGACACCACTTTGATATCACTCTTGCCCAAAAGCCCTGGCGATGTCACCAAGTCCGAGGCAGTGCTGGAGGCACTTGGCAAACTTCTCAGCCTTTAAAGATAGTGATTGTTAAGAACTGCAGTCAGAAGCCTGAGTGTTGTGTATTGGAGCATGGGCGCGTTTAGACTCCAGGAGTTTCTCGGCACAGCACGAGGCAGAGAAAGGTGTTAGCTGACAAAGCTCTGATACTCTTAGCTTGCTGGATCCTGTTGGCTGACGAAAGCCTATGAACAGCTCTGTTGGTGCCTGGATCTTGGAGCCTGTCCAAAAAGATGGAGGACAAGGGAGGGTGGAAGGTTATCAGCAGCAAACATGAGGGAGGGCAAGGCGGGCTACGTATCCGAGGGTCAGGGAAGTTCTGTGCTCTTGGACCTGAGTTTGATTAGCTTATGCGAAAGCGCCCTTTATCTCTGCCAAGCTGCAGTTATCTCATGACTTCAGCAAAGCCTGCCCCTGACCTGAGTCTGTGGACTCTTCCAGGCTAGTCAAGTTTACTTGGCAGCAAGCCCAGTCCCTAAAAGCCTTCCTTTTAACTAAAACCTACTGGTTTGGGGGGCCCCAAGTGACGTGCTCCTTCTCAGAAAACTGATCATTTCAGCATTTAAGACGTACTACTGAGGCTTGGCAATAATTGGAGAGAACATTTTTCTCTTTCCTCTTGGTATGAGCTCGGTCACGGATTTACCCCGAGACACTGAATACGATCTAAAGCGCTCCGTGTTTTTGGTTGAAGTTTTCGTATAGCAGAGAAAATCCTTTCAGGGAGATCATGGAGTAGATGTTTGCTCTTGTCTCCAGTGCTCTTCACTATCAGTTATCTTTCAGGATCATCCGTGCTGAGCATTGTGCCCCTTCTTAGCTGGTTCCCTGAGTTTTTCAAGTTCAAACTGGATTCCACAGTCTTTTCATTTCTCCTCAAGCTCTTCTCAACAAG